CAAAAGATCAAAAGTCACTTTATGAAAAAGACACCTGCACTCGAAAGTTTATAGCAGCACAGTTCATAATTGCAAAGTTATGGGAACAACCCAAGTGCCCATCAATACATGAGTGGATTCACAAAATGTGGTATATGTATACCATGGAGTACTACCCAGCTTTAAGAAAAAATGGTGATATAACACCTCTTGTATTTTCCTGGATAGAGCTGGAACCCATTCTACTAAGTGAAGTATCTCAAGAATGGAAAAACCAGCACCACATGTACTCACCAGCAAATTGGTATTAATGGATCAACACCTAATTGGACATATAGGAAAAACATTTATCGGGTGTTGGGCAGGTGGGAGGGGGGAGCAGGAGATGAGTATATACAAACACAGTGAGTTAGATGTGCAGCGTTTAGGGGATGATCATGCTTGAAGCTCTGACTCGAGGGGGAAGGGGAGGATGGGCAGTATACATAACCTTAACATTTGTAACCCCATAATATGCTGAAAGAAAAAAAGAAAAAAAAAAAAAGAAAAGAGTCTTTGAGAGATTGTTTACTGGATAGGCAAATATTTCGCTTGTGTCTTTTGTTTCCAGGAGTTTAATACACATATGCTTACACCTGGGTTTTATAAATTTTTGAAAGGTATTACTTAAATGTTAACTGCTTACATGATCCCCTGAATGTCTCCCATGTTTTCCCATGGGCTTGTGTGCCATCTGTCTGTGGAGGCATTTTTACTATTTTGCTTTTGAGCTTATTAATTTATCTGGACTTCTAGTATCAGATGGGTTGAAGAAAAATTATGATTTTGTAGATTAGTTGGATTTTTCTTGTTAACCCGGGGAATGACACTCTTTCCAGCTTTCCACATCTTAAGTGATATGCCTTACTATTTTTAATTCACATGGAGCATGTATGAAAAATAAAACATAAATTGAGTTACAAAGATAGTCTCATAAAAGTTTCCAAAGAATGAAATCAGATTTTTTTCTGATGCTAATATAATTTTTTATGCAGCAATAATAAAAAATACAGTAAAAAAGAAATTCAAATTTTTGTATCTTTGGAAATTGGAAATAAAAATAATATTTGTGAATAACCCATGGCTCACAGGAGAAATCATACTAGAAATTTGAAAATAGTTTTATCTAGATGATAAAGATACTATTAAGCTTATGGGATATGATAGTTAAGAGGGAAATTTATAGTCTTAAATGTATATATTGCAAAAGAAGAAAAAAACTAGAAATAAGCAAAGCCTCCACCTTAAGAAGTTAAAAATGCAAAAGAAACACAGAAACAAAGAAAGGAAGGGTGGAACCAAAAAATATAGGAGCAAAAATCAATCAGTGTAAAACCAAGCATCTGATAGAAATGATGAAGGGAACTTAAAAATGACCAGTAAAGTGGAAAACTCCTTCAGGTATTGGTCAAAAAAGGAAAAGTATGAATGTCAGGAATAAAATGGGTACTATCACTGCAGATCATTCAATTAATGAAAAGATGAGTATATTACGAACAACTTTGGGTGAAGACAACTCAAAATCCAATGAAATGGACAAAATCCTGGGGGGAAATCTTACCTATTTATTAATGTATAATGTTTTTCATCATCTCAAAACATTTTGGAATTAAAGTCCATTTTTGTCTGATATTAGTATAGCCATCCCAGTTTTCTTTTATTTATGATTTACATGGAATTTTTTCATCCTTTCACTTCAGCCTATGTGTGTCTTTGTAACTAAAGTACTTGTAAACAGTATATAGTTGGATCATATTTTTTAGATAGATTCTACCAATATCTTTTAATTAGACAGTTTAACATTTACATTTAAAATAATGATAAAGACTTTTTACATTTTGCTAATTGTTTTCTAAATGTCTTAGATCCTTTTTGTTTCTCAATTCCTCTATTATTACATTCTTTTGTTTAGTTGTTTTTTTTCTAGTGCATTATTTTGATTCTCTTCTCATTTATTTTTCTGTATATATTTTAGTTATTTTCTTAGTAGTTACCCTAGATATTACAATTATAACTTATAATTAACACCAGATTAGCTTTCACAGTATATAAAAACTCTGCTTCTATATGGATTCACCTTCTTTATGTTGTTGTTATCACAAATTATATCTTTGTGAATTACATTAACATAGATATATAATTACTGTTTTCCTTAACATAGATATATAATTATTGTTTTATGCATTGTCTTTTAAATCATCTGGGAAAAAGAGAGGGATTACAAAGCAAAAATGTAATAATACTGGCATCTATATTTACCAGTGTATTTACCTTTACAGTGTTCTTAACTTCTTTTATTGCTTCTGGTTACTGTCTAGTGTGCTTTCACTTTGGACTAAAGGACTGCCTTTAGAATTTCTTGTAGGGCAGAGTATTAGTTTACTAGGGCTGCCATAACAAAGTGAAGGTTTTGTTATGGCAGAGTGGGTGGCTCAAACATCAAGAATTTATTTTTTCACAGTTCTGGAGGCTAGAAGTTTGAGATCAAGGTGTTACCAAAGTTGGACATAGAATTCTTTGTTTACAGTCTTTTTCTTTCAGCAGTTTAAATGTCATCCCACTGCCTCCGTCCTCCATGTTCTCTAATGAGAAATTAGATATTATTATCGAAGATCCCTTGTTTGTGATGAACTGCTCTCTCTTGCTGTTTTCAAGGTACTCTCTTTATCATTGGCTTTTAACAATTTAACTATAATGTATGTTGGTGTGGATTCCTTTGAGTTTATTCTAGTTGGAGTTCATTGAGCTTCTTAGATGTTTAGATTCACAACTTTCATCAAATTTGGGAAGTTTTTCCCATTGTTTCCTCAAGTTTTCTTTCTTCCCTTTTTCTGTTCTTCTGGGCACTCACATCATGCATATGTTGTTATGTTTGATTGCGTCCCACAGGTCTCTTAGCTCTGTTGCTTTTTCTTCATTTGCTTTTTCTTCAGTCCAATAATCTTTTTTTTTTTTTTTTTTTTGAGACAGAGTCTCACTCTGTTGCCCAGGCTAGAGTGAGTGCTGTGGCGTCAGCCTAGCTCACAGCAACCTCAAACTCCTGGGCTCAAGAAATCCTCCTGCCTCAGCCTCCTGAGTAGCTGGGACTACAGGCATGCGCCACCATGCCCGGCTACAGTCCGATAATCTTGATTGATGGGAAGTTTGCTGATCTTTCTTCTGTCTGCTCAAGTCTGTTGCTGAATCCCTCTCGTGTATTTTCATTTGTTATTGTACTTTTCAGCTCCACAGTTTCCTTTTTATAATTTCCATATTCTTATTGACATTTTCTATGTGTTGTGGCATCATTCTTCTGGTTTCTTTTAGTTCTTTGTCCATGGTTTTACTTAGCTGTTTGAATACATTTAAAACAGTTAATTTATAGTCTTTGTCTACTAAGTCCAATGTTTGGGCTCCTCTAGGGGCAGTTTCTATTTCTGTTTTCCCTGGGAATGGGTCATACTTTCTTCTTTCATTTTATGTCTCATAATTTCTTTCTGTGGAAAACTGAACATTTGGCGTATTTTGATGTGATACTGCTGGAAATTAGATTTGCTCTCACTCCTCACTAGGGTCTTTTTGTTTTTTTTCTGCTTGTGATTTGTTTGTTTACTGACTTTTCTAAGGTAAAGAAATATTTTGTTAACAATATTACTGGGTAAGTTGTCACCTCACAATTTGACAGTGATTTCCTTAAATGACTGAGCAAAAAACCCCTAAAACACAAAAAAACCTTTTTCGGTTCTCACAGACGGACTCTGGGCACACCTGCGACACTTTCATTCTAGGTGTTTACAGCCCTGCCTTGGCCCTCCCTCCTGCTTGCACAGTGCCTACAGATCAGCCAGGAGAAAGTTAGTGTCTTCTCCAGTGTTTTCTTGAGAAAACACTTGTCCTGGGACTGTGGGTTGCCTTGTGTGTTTCCCAGTATGCGCCAAGTGTTTTCAGAGCCTTCATTTTCCCACCTGTGTCCTTCCCCAGTCTCTTCCTTCCTGGGCTTTTCAGCACGATTGCTGCTTGTCCCATCCCTTTTCCTTTGCTATAGGTGGCTGCAGCCAGGGTATTTGCCTTTAAATACTTTTCACAAACACCACCGGAGTCCTCTCCAGCCCTGTGAAAGTTTCAAGGTGGAGGACAAAGGAAAGCCCTTGAGCAAATCCTTTAGGAAGCCTCTGCACAGCTCAAAATGCACGGCCATAACTCTTTGAGAGCAAGTGTGGTACCTGTTCCTGTGGGGTTTGCTGTGGCACCAGCAAACCCCACAGGAACATGGACACCACTGAGCTGGATGTCGGGGATGGGGTGGGAGATGGGTGCATTCAAGCACCACAATATCTCTTACAGGAATTTAGCAGCTTCTTTTTTCTTTAAGCATTGTCCTGTTTTGTTTTGTTTTTCTGGGGGGGGGAATGGGGGTGATAGCCCACTTGTTTCTTACAATCTGGCAAACTGGCCAGATGTGTACAAGCAGGGGTTCCAAGACCAGGGGGTTGGTATGAAAGGTGACTTAGGATTGGCACAGAGCACTTCCACTGCATTTATTGGCTCAAGCAAGTTACAGGGCCAGCCTAGGTTGAGATGGGAAATAGAGTTATCACTTGATGGGAGGCACTGCAAAGTCATATTGCAAAGGACGTGGATACAGAAAAGAGTGGAAAAATGTAACCATTTTTAAAAATCCTTAACATCTGTGTAATTTATAAAGCATAGTTTTATTTCTGATATTGAAATGAAACAGATGGTTAGAAATGCTAGGTGTTTTATTCTTAGTTCACAAACTGGAAGCTGTAAATCTATTGAGATATATGTTATAACTTTATGACCAGTGTTCTTATTACTTGCATATATTGCCGTAAAACTCAAAGCACTTTATGTTGATATTAACCAATCGTATGAAGCAAACACCTTGCAATATCCTGTAAATGGTGTGTTAATAATAAAGAGTTCATGATAAACAAATTATGAAAATTTTCAAGATTTATATGCTGCTATTTATTTTCTAGTTGGAATCAGATGTTCCAGATTTATTTCCTCTTTATCTAGAAGTACATATTGTGGTGGACAATGCTTTGGTATGTATTTTGCTTTTTATTTGCTTTTAAATATTTGATGCAAATGTATCGACTATCCCAGTCCTCTTACTTGAATCTCATAGAAATAGTAGTGGGAAAATGTACAAACTGAAAAACTAGTCAAAACCATATTAGTTTTGTCAGAAATGTTTGTTTGTTTTTTTTTTTAATTTCAGCATATTATGGGGCTATAACGGTTAAGGATTGTCAGAAATGTTTTATTTTGAAATCTATCTATAACGATCCTGCAGAAGAAAATGATTTTTTTTTTTTTACTGGTACTTCATGTTTTCAGGGTCTCTCTTGATCCATACATACTATCTTTTAATGGTGATTTTGGTCAAAGTGAAATTCTTTAAACTTTTAATTCCTATTTTAGGAAGTCTTGAAGAGCAGTGTTTAAGGAATGTTTTAACTTATGAAATATTTATTGGGGAAAAAGTGGTAATAGTATAAATATATATATGAGAAGTACTTACATTATCATGTGTCAAGCTTTTTAAAGCAGTTTTTCGTAGTGTACCTGTTCCTGTCCATTATTTTCCTGATATAAAAGACACCTCTAGATCCTTAATTCTCATAAACAGTTTGAGGGCTTTTGAACTTTGGAAGCTTGGGGTGATAACTTAGTTTGCAGTCAACCACATTATGGTTTTATTTCTTCTAATATTTGAAAGATTTCAGAAAATAGGGGAAATACACTTTTCAGGTTTTATTCTGATGATAGCATTCATGTGTCACAACTGTGAAACACTACAGAGAATATGAGTAATATTCGTTACCAATTCTATTCTTTGGCTTGAGCTTGTCAGGAAGACAAAATTGAGATTAGAGACAGAAGGAATTTGGAGAAGGATATGAAAATACTTGATTTATTAAGGTACAGAGAAAAGGACAAAAGGAACATTTAAGAGAAAATTGAGACATTTAGGAGCAAATTAAGCTGTTTCTACTAAATATGACTGAGTTTCTTAGAAATGGTATAGGTTATGAAAATTCTTTTGTTTTAGAATTATAAAGTTTGAGAGTTGTTTTAAGAACTTCATGTCCAAATTGCCAGGCATGTGAGCCACATAATGCTGATTAAATATTTCTTCTCTGTGTATGCATTTATATATTCTTCAACAAAACAAACATTGAGGCTAGCTATAAAATCTATGTTACTATATGTTGAGCATATAAAGAAAAATAATACTGATATTTTATTCAGTGATTTTACAAATTATATGTCCACAACTGTAGCCTAGTGAATTTAGTGCCATGATTGAGGGAAGCATTTGGTACTATATGCTTATACTATAACAGTTTAATAATGGAAACAGACATGGAAACAAACAGCTGTAACTTGGTATGTTATTAATATCAGAGCATGCAAGTGGTGTTTTAAAATGCAAGTTTTATTCAGATATATTCAGGCCAACAGATTAGGAGATAATTGCTATTGAAAAGATAGCATGTTACTTTACAGTTTCTAATAGTAGGGAGCACTCCACATCATGCAGGGAGGACTCCACATCATGTAGGAAGCACACCACATCATGCCAGGGCCATGGGGAATGCACCAGGGCCATCTAGGAGACAGAGGACTCAAAGGGGACTTGTGATCAAGAGCTGCTATTGTGGTTTCAGTGAGAAAAAACAGGCAAAGCTGGGTAAGTAGGTTTAGGATGGCTAGTTCGAATAATTTCAGTGGGCCCTGAGGGTATACACTGTCCCTAGTCTCCTGATTCTTGGCCCTGGGGTAATTAGGGAAAGGGAATACTGGCTCTGAGTGTGAGGGCCTGGTGAAGTAGGCTCTGGCTTGAGTAGCTTGTATATGGAAGTTACACTCCAAAGCCAGTCATTTATTATCTCTAGGAATTGGCTGCCTCTGAGAGGGGTGGTCTTTCCAGGGTGAGCAAGGCCTCAAGATGTCAAAGCTTCAGCAATACAGAAGATAAGAAGGCATGATTAATACAGTAAGTCACATAATGAAGATAAGAAATGAGCAATGGGTGGAGGGTGGGGCCCAGGAAAATTTTGTGCAAAACCTTCTTTTGCAAGAGCACATAAATGTGAGAGAAGGTTCCTTTCAGGAAGCTCCAAGAAATTTAGTCTCATTAATATGTAGAGCTAAAAGAGATGTGAAAATAGATAAATTAAAGAATCAATAGTGTATTTAGATTTTTATCTAAATGTTATGGAGATTCATTGCCATATTTTAAGTGGGTGAGTGACATGTTTATATTTTAATCTTCGAGTCATCATTTTGGTAATAGTGTAGTGGCTGATTTGCTGGTGGGGAAATTGGAGAAGGAGGAACCATTTAAGAGACTATTCTAGTGATCAAGGTGAAAACTTATCAATTAGTGGTATTAGAAATGAAAATAAAGCCATAACTTTAAAAGTGACTGATGAAGTTGAATTAGAAGGACTTGTAAATGATTTGATTTATTCATTTACTTAACAAATTTATTGAACATCATCTAGATAGAAGTTGCTGTTCTCGTTATTGGGGATATGGCAGTGAATAAAAGAGAAAAATTTCTGCTCACAGGGAGCAAGTAGTATAATAAATGTGAGATGCAGTAGATGATACCATTCACTAAAGTAATGAAATATAAGTAGGAACAGATTTTTGAGGGAAGGTGATGAATTTATTTTTGAATATGTTTACTTTAGATATGAGTTTAGTTTGTGATAATTTGAGTGTCCTGTGGAACATCCAAGGCATGATATACTATAGAGCAGGGGTCCCCAACCTATGGTGAGTTGTATTATTATTTCATTATACATTATAATGTAAGAATAATGGAAATAAAGTACATAATAAATGTAATGTGCTTGAATAATCCTGGAGCCATCCCCTGTCTGTGGAAAAATTGTCTTTCATGAAAATGGTCTCTGGTCCCAAAAAAGGTTGGGGACCACTGCTGTAGAGAGAGTGTCTCTCTCTGTCTCTCTGTCTCTGTCTCTATCTCTCTCTCTCTCTCTGTGTATGTATGTATGTATATATACACACACACATATACAGTTTGACATTGTTGTAATCCAGAGTTTATTCAGATTTCAACAAATAATATATGTATATAAATATATACACACACTTATTTGTGTGTGCATTTGTGTATGTAAATTCATGCAATAGTATCACACAAGTAGCTTTGTGTTACCAGTGCCATAATTAAGATAGTCAACAGTCCCATCACTGCAAGACTCTCTTATGCCAACCCTGTAGAGTCACACCCATCCTCTCTCCTGCTTCTTAGCCCCTGGCAACCACTAAGCTGTTCTCCTTTATGATTTTCCAAATATTGCTTAAAGTTATCATTCAATATGTATCCTTTTAAGGTTTTTTTTTACACTTAGCATAATTTTCTTCAGGTTTGGCCCAGCTGTTCCATGTATCAGCAGTCAGTTCCTTTTTATTGCTGAGTCCTAGTCCATAGTAGGTACTACTGTTTGTTTAATCATTTAATTGTTGAGTTGTTTCCAGTTTTTGGCCATTATGAATAAAGCTGTTAAGGACATCCATGTATAGGTTTTTGTGTGGGCGTCAGTTTTTATTTCTTTGAAATAAATGCCCAGGAGTGAAATTGCTGGACCATTTAGTAAGTTCATTCTTTGTTTTGAAAGAAGTTGCCAAATTATTTTCCAGAGTGGCTATACCATTTTACATTCTTGCTAGCAATGTATGAAGGATACAGTTTATAATCATGTTTTATTAATTAATGTTTTATTTTGAACTGTTGAACCCCAAAGCAACCTCAAATCTGTGACAGTAGATGGAAAATAAATCTAAAAATATTATATAACAAATTGTGTTTAAATATAAAATTAATTATGTTTTTCAGTATGATTACTTGGGCTCTGATAGCATGATAGTAACAAATAAAGTTGTCGAAATTGTTGGACTTGTGAATTCAGTAAGTATTTTTCTTGTCATATGAAAAAATTCTTTGTTTTGAAATTATAATTTACATGAATTTGATGTGATATTTTTGTATAATTAAGTGATTGATGTAAACTGAGTGTGGAATTGTGAAAACATTGAATTAATTTCTAGGTTATTGTAAAATAACATAAAGATTAATTTTGCATGTATTTATCTCTTCTGTTTTTAGATGTTCACCCAATTTAAAGTTACTGTTGTGCTGTCATCATTGGAGTTGTGGTCAGATGAAAATAAGATTTCTACAGCTGGTGAGGCAGATGAATTATTGCATAGATTTTTAGAATGGAAACTGTCTTATCTCACCCTAAGGCCTCATGATATTGCATATTTATTCATGTAAGAATAATGTTTAAGTATTCCTAGAAAGAAAACAAAGATCTGTGGTATAATGTAACTTAATTTAGGGAATTGTTATTCATGTCTGACTATACATACTTTAATTATTTATTGTGTGCATTATTTAGGCCTTGTGCTCACTTTCTGATTGTCAGACAATAAAAAAGATAACTAACATTTATTTCTATGCTTATCAACCTTTTAAAAATGAAGATACATAGAGTTTTAAGAGGTTGAGCCATCTCAGGCCTCAACTCCAGAGCCAATACTCTGAACCACTACACAAAGAGATAGGATTTATCTTGTGAGGTTTATATTTTTATTATGAGCTTTGAACAAAGGATTGGTAAAGTAGGTTACAATATTTTATCCTAATGAATTTTTTGAATTATTTAAAAAAGTTTCTAAAGATAAATTATAGCTGTATATTTATAATATTATTCACATTAAATTTATTGGCAATAATCAGAAGATATCTTTCAATAAATCTGTATTTTAAAGTTGGCATGTCAGTATTTCCTTTTGTACATGTGGGATGAATCTTTCCCTCACATTTATGCCAGCAACAAATGTGATTGCTTTTTTACTTTTTTGCCAGCCTGATGGATATAAATTGATTAATGTCATTGACATCTTAATTTGCTTTCTTCCAATGTCTACTGGATTTGAGTATTTCCTTGTAATTTTTAAATTTTTCTTGTAATTTAGAAGGGTTTTTTTTGAATGTTTAGATCAGGTATCCTCAAACTACAGCCCGCGGGCCACATGTCACCCACCGAGGACATTTATCCAGCCCAGCAGGTGTTTTTGCTGCCACCGCCTGTCCTGCTTAGCTGCTGACTCGTCCCAGGCCCACAGTGCGCATTCTCTGACGGTCTCAGGGACAGTGAACTGGCCCCCTGTTTAAAAAGTTTGAGGACCCCTGGATTAGATATTAACCTTTTGTTTATCTGCATGACAAATACTTCTTCCATATCTGTAATTTTTCTGTGAACTTTTTTACTACATGAAAACTTCCACATTTCATATGGCTAAATTTCTGAATCATTTCTGTTTTACTTTTGGGTTTCCTATGTAGTGAAGAGGGTCTCTCACAGATCTAGATTTTAGTCTGCTCGATTTATTTTTTTGCATTTATATTACTCTTAAAAAGTAGGTCTTCAATACATCTTCAGCTAATTTTTATATAGCATAAAAGAGAGGTACAGTTTTGTTTTCTGCCACATGGATAGCCAGTTTTGCTATGAATTTAGCACTTTTGTCACATATTTGCCAAGTTCCATAAACAATCTGTTGGGATTTTTATAGAGATTAAAGGAACTCTATATATCAATTTGGGAAGAACTGACATGTTTACAATGTTGAATCTTTCAATCCATGCATTTGATAATGTTAAATATTGTAATCAATGATTATGGTACATCTTTCCATTTTTTTTAATTTCAAAATATTAAGGGGCTGGGATACAAATGTTTTAGGTTACATGTATCATTTTTGTAATGTTTGAGTGCTCGCTATATGTGTGCCCATCACCCAAATAGTACCCGTTAGATTGATTTATTCCCCTCCTCTCCTGCCCCCTCCCCCAGTTGTTTTCCACTGAGTTTTACTTCCCTGTGTGTACTTGTGTTCATCAGTTACTTCCAGTTTAATAATGAGTACATGTGGTGTTTGTTTTTTCCATTTTTATAATACTTGACTTAAGAGAATGGTCTCCAGTTCCATACAGATTGTTGCAAAAGGAATTAATTAATATTTTTTTATGGCTGAGTAGTACTCTATGGTGTACATATACCACTCATGAATTGATGGGCACTTGGGTTGATTCCACAGCTTTACAGTTGTGAACTGTGCTGCAATAAACATTCAAATGCATCTATTTTTTTGATATAATGAGTCAATACCCAGCAGTAGAATTGCTGGATTCAATGGTAGGTCTAATTTTAGTTCTTTGAGGAATCTCTATACTGTTTTCCATGGAGGTTGTATTAATTTCCAGTCCCACCAGTAGTGTATAAACATTCCTATCTCTCTGAATCCATGCCAGCATCTATTGTTTGGGGATTTTTTAACAAAAGCTGTTCTAACTGGGGTAAGCTGACATGTCACTGTGGTTTTAATTTGCACTTCCCCAATAATTAGTGATGTTGAGCATTTTTTCACATGTTTTTGTCTTTTTTTTTTACTGTTGTTGATTTAAAGTCTACTTTATCTGATATGAGAATGGCTACACCTCTCTCCTTTGCTTTCTGTTTGCATGGAATATTTTTTTCCTATCCCTTCACCTTGAATCTGTATGAATCTTTGTTGTTTAGATGTGTTTCCTGGAGACAGCAGATACTCAGATATTTGGGTTGTGTTTTTTCATCCATTCAGCCAGTCTATATCTTTGGAGTGATATATTCAGACCATTTATTTTGAGTATTAGTATTTACATGTGAGTTACTGTTTTGTTCATCACGTTGGGTGGTACCTTATTGCTTTGTTTCTCTCTAGTGCTATTGTATTATAAGACCTGTGAGCTTCAGCTTTTGGGTGATTTTACACTGGTGGGTATCTGTTGTGCTGATCTATGCCTAATGCAGTTCTGAGTATTTCCTGTTGGGCAGGACTAGTAGTGACAAATCCCCTTAGCATTTGCTTGTCTGGAAAAGTGTATTTCTCCATCATTTATGAAACTTTCTTTTGTAGTATATAAGATTCTTGGCTGGAAGTTGTTCTGTTTAAGAAGACTGAAGATGGGGCCTTAATTCCTTCTGGCTTATAAGGTGTCTGCTGTGAATTTTCTATTTACCCTCATGGATTTTCCTTTGTAGGTTATTTGTTGCTTTCATCTTGCTGCTTGTAGAATTTTTTCCTTCGTTTTGACTTTGGCCAAGTTGATGAGTATGTGTCTTGGTAATGTCCTAATTTGTTAGGATTCTTCCTGGTGTTTGATGACCATCTTTTATCTAGATGTCTGTACCTCTGGCAATACCAGGGAAGTTTTCCTCAATAAGTCCCTTGAATAGATATTCCATGCTTTTTATTCTTTCTTCTTCTCCCTCAGGGATACCTATAATTTGCATATTATTTTGCTTCACATAGTTTCATATTTTTCTGGGTCACTGTTCAGTTCTTTAACTCTCTTTTCTGCATGACTAGGTTAGCTCAACAGCCTTGTCTTTTAGCTCTGAGATTCTTTATTCTCCTTGGTTTGCCTCTTGTTGAAGTTTTCTGCTGTATTTTGAAATTCCCTAAAGGACTGTTATATTTCTTTTAGTTCTGTTGTAATATAGCCTTTCTTATGTTGTTTAGCTGTTTAGTGACATTTTAATTTTTTCCATTGTTATCCTGAAATATTTTTTAGGCTTCTTTTTGTTGGTATTTAACCTTTTGTTCAATTCCTGTCATTTTATTTGCCATCAATATTCTGAATTCCAATTGTGACATTTTCACATTTTTCTTTTTGTTGGAATTCATTACTGTGGATCTATTATGATCCTCTGAGAGTGTCAAACTAGCTTGTTTTTTCGTGTTTCCAGTAGTTTTATGCTTGTTTCTTCTCATCTGAAACCTCTTCTTTCAGATCAGAGTTGATGGGTTTGCAGTTCACTTGTTCTCCTTTGCTGGGAACTCTCCTACTTTGTGAGAAGGAGGAGAGGTCCTTAGATAATGCTTTTTTGTCCTATTCCAGATTATTGTCCCAGTGGGAGGGAAGTGGATACACTGAGATCTTGTAACATGGTTGTTCTCCTGTGTTGTCTCAATCCCCTGTGGTTGTCACAATCCAATCAGACCCTGGAGGATATTCGTTTAGATTGGTGTATTGGTCTTTAGGCCACTGTTGGAAGCTTGGGCAAGGGATTAGGGGAGTCCCTCTCTACTGAGGTGGGTATTGCAGGAGATTTCTCTTCCTGAGTCTCCCCATGGTGGTGAAATTGGCTGTTTGGTGAGGCTATCTATGTGATGGCCACAGGCATCAACAGGGTTGTATGGATTTGCTCCATCCAGGTCAAGGTATAATAGCAATACACAGTGGTGAGCAGCTTGTGGTTAGTGAGTCTATGGTTGGGTGCAGCTGTTCCATCCCACAGTGCTGTGGAGGCATGGCCCCCAAGCCAGCATGCGGGGGCAGGGACCCTGTTATGCTGGTTGGTGCTTGGGGTTGCAGGAGTGTGGCCGGCTGGCTGCTGGCACATGGTACAAAGGGGCATGGCCTGCATTACTGTGAGGCCCCCTGAGGGGACTACGAGACTTCAGGGGTGTACACGCCTGCCCACTGGTGCACCAGACTGGGGGTCGTGGCCCAACGGTTCAGAACTCAGGTCCATGGGGCCGTGGACCTCCACATGGTGTGCAGGATCTGGGGGCTTGTTTCCCCATTTGGTATGCAGGACTGTGGAGGCATGGACCTTGATGTGCCAGTGCATGGGCTGGGAGGCTTGGAGCACTGGTTGTGGTCCAGGCCTGCAGGGACGTGACCGCTGGATACCTGGGGCACTCTCTGTAAACAGGTCCTGCCAAGGCTGCTACCATTGGACTTCTCAAGCTCCACTCGGGTTCTCTGGTAGGGAGGGCATCCAGCACCTAGTCACAGGTGTGCAAGTGTATTTTCTCTACCTGGCCGATGTTGGGGCAGCTACAACAGAGCCAATTCTTGTGTCCTGTGTGGACCAGGAGTCCAGATCTGAGGACTCAGAGTGGCATCAGCTGCAGCAACCTGTGAACCAAGACCGGCAGGTCCCTGCTGAGCCTTATGTCCCATGCAACTTCACTATACAATATCCAAACAGTTACCTGAATAGCACAGAGGCCTGTGATGGTGACATGGAGGGACCCCCCAGAACTGGAGTCAGAGTGTCCACACAGGGAGCATGGGGCCCTGGGGCTCTCTTCTTTATCCCTTCTCCGTGTGTAGGGGTCTCCCCCAGGTACCTTCTGATTTGGCGAGTAACACTCCCTGTCCCTGTCTTCTTCACTGAGTTTCTCCCTTCATTTCTCCTATGATCTACAATGCTCTCTCCAAGAGGGTCCATCTGTAGGTGAGCATCCACGCGCGGTTTTCTATCCTCTCCCAGACGGCGGCACGTGCAAGCTGTTTCTAGTCCACCATCTTGGCCCTCCTCCTTAATGGTTGAGAGTATTCGCTCTGGATTCAGACTGCCCAAATTGAAGTCCTTCAGTAGCATTTATTAATCATGCTACCTTGACAGAATTACTTATACTTTTTATCTGATGTTTGATTTGTTTACTGGGGATAAAAATAATATCTACTTCGCTGGTTTATTTTGAGAATTAAGTAAAGTTCTGAGAGAATGATGCTGTTATTAATGACAGTTTATATGGGCCATTACTTTAATGCTGAAACAATAATGCTTGGTTGTGAAGCAATACAGTCATTCCTTTGACAAACTGCTCAATTTTTCTACATGGGAGTGACAGATTTTAATCCATAACATTAAAACTGTTTGTCACTGTAACTCAGCAAATTGTTTTTGATCAAAATGCTGGATGAAAGCCTTTGCTAACCTTAACCAAATGTGATGAGAACAGTATAGGCATCAAAAACATGCATGCATTGGATATGTTTCAGAAATAAAAAATATTTAACTGGTTAATACTAATATTTAATATTAGTTAAAACATCTTCCATATTTGGAACAATTAAGGCCTTATGTAAGGATTATAACCTAATTTGATTAAGACTAGCATTTTATTAGCTATCAACTTTAATTATTAGCAGAAATTCTCACATTTAAGTTATTCATTAAAATTAATTATAAATGTATACTTATTTATTTAGATATAGGGATTATCCACATTATGTGGGAGCAACATTTCCTGGGAAAATGTGTGTTACCCGTTATTCTGCAGGAATTGTATTGGTATGTAATTATTTAATCTTATTTAAAAAATTTACACATTTAAAAATTATCCAACTTGATGGTATGTATTTTATTGTTTACATTTATGTTTACATTTAGAGATTGCATTTGTTTTCCATTACTGTTAAAATTTTTAAGTGCAGAGAAGGAAGTATATTTTGTAGAATAAGTATCTTGTTGCAGTTCAGTATGTTTGGGAGTTAAAGTGGAATAAAAATTTCATAAAAACACATGCAGTGCTCAATATATAGAATAGTGTATCATGAAAAATTACTTGTAATTAAATCCCTATACACAAATAGCTTTTTTCTTATAAAACTGAGGATATATTCTTACAGATAAAATAGCTTAAAAAACAAAAAAACAACTATAATAAAAATAATTTAAAATGTTTCAAGAGGTTTGAACTCTGACAATATTTAAAAGAAACTTTTATGTGTATTTTAACTACTTATATTATTTATAAATATGTTTTATATATCAGAAGTCATTAGTAAAATAAAATACATCATTGAAAAATGATGTAGCTCTTTGGGATATTTTTCTATCCTTCTAAATTTTTTTAAACATATAAGTTCAAGCACTTTTTAAAAATTGACAAAGTAATTTATGTTAATCGTGTCAAATTTGTTAAGTATACATAGGAACATATAAGAAAATTCATATAATCTTGCATCTTACCACTCTGGTGAAGATATCACTATTGACAGTTTGATTGATATATAGCTTCTTTTTGTAAAGACTTTTACAATATTTTAATCTCTTACCTATCTCATAAAGCGACCCCCTTCTTTGCCTGTCTGTTCAATGCCATAAAGAACCTAAAATGGGTTACCCTTTGCAGATGGTTTCATCTCTGGAATCTCAGTCCTATTCCAAATATCGATGCTTCTGTTCTTGTGCCAGTGCCAGGCTGATTTAACTATTATTGCTTTATAGTACAGCTTGAAGTCAGAAAGACTGATGCCTCCCAGTTTTTTCATTTTACTTAATATTGCTTTGGCTATATGAGGTTTTTTCTGATGCCATACAAAGTAAAGAATTATTTTTTCTAGCTCTGTAAAGAATGATGATGGTACTTTGATGGGGATTGCATTAATTCTGTAGATCACTTTATGTAATATTGACATTTTAACGATATTCATTCTACCAATCCAGGAACAAGGTAAATTTTTTACATCTTTTTACATCTTCTACAATTTAGTTTTTAAGCGTTTCATAGTTCTCCTTGTATAAGTCTTTTGCATCTTTCGTTAAATATACTCCTAGAGATTTAATTGTCTTTGGGGCTGTAGTAAAAGGTATTGTGTTTTTGATTTGAGTTTTGGCTTGACAGTTCTTGGCATATATGAATGCCTCTGATTTGTGTATATTGATTTTGTAACTGGAAACTTTACTGAATTCATTATCAAATCTATGAGTCTCTTGGACGAATCCATGGGGTTTTCTAGGTATAATATCATATCATGGGTGAAGAGCAAGAGCAGACAAAAATATACAATGGGGAAAAGAATCTCTCCTCAATAAAGGATGCTGGGAAAACTGGATAGTCACTTGCAGAAGAATGAATCAGGATCCCTACCTCTCACCTCTCACAAAAATCCACTCAAGATGGATAACAGATTTAAACCTAAGGCATGAAACCTTAAGAATCCTAGAAGAAGATGTTGGGAAAACCCTTTCAGACATTGGCCTAGGCAAAGAATTCTTGAAGACCCCCAAACCAATCACCGCAGCAACAAAAATAAATGGGGTCTGATCAAATTAAAAAGCTTCTGCACAGCCAAATAAACTATCATTAGAGTAAATAGACAACCTACAGAATGGGAGAAAATATTTGCTCTCTACACTTCTGATAAAGGTCTAATGACAAGAATCTATCTAGAACTCAAAAGAATTAACAAGAAAAAATCAAACAACCCCATCAAGAAATTGGCAATGGAAATGAACAGAAACTTTTCCAAAGAAGACAGAATAATGGCCTGCAAACATAAAAAAAAAAAAAAGCTCAACATGTCTAATCATTAGAGAAATGCAAATCAAAACCACAGTGAGATGCCACCTAACCCCAGTGAGATTGGCCTGTATCAAGAAATCCCAAAACAACAAATGCTGGCGAGGATGTGGAGAGACAGGAACACTCTTATAGTGCTGGTGGGACTGCAAATTAGTGAAACCTTTGTGGAAAAGAATTTGGAGATACCTCAAACAGCTAAAAATAGAAATACCATTCAATCCAGCAATAGCACTATTAGGCATCTACCCAAAAGAGCATAAGACGTTGTATTATAAAGACATCTGCACCCGAATGTTTATGGCAGCACAATTCACTATTGCAAAGACATGGAAGCAATCCAAGTGCCCGTCAATTCATGAGTGGATAATTAAAATTTGGTATATGTTCATAATGGACTATTACTCAATTCTAAGAAACGACAGCGAGCTAGCATGGCTTGTACTATCCTGGATTGAGCTTAAGCCCGTTATCAAAGTGAGGTGACATAAGACCAGAAAAATGGGCTCCACATGTACTCGCCATCAAATTGGTACCGACTGATTAACACTATGGTGCTCAAATGGTGGTGGTGTTCACTAGGGATTCAGGGGTAGGGGGTGTAGACCTACATCTCAGGGATGTGGTGAGCACTGTGGAGGGAAAGGGCATACCTGTAACCCTTCCTAGACAGAGGCAAAAATATAAAGTGTAACCAAAATGTCAAAAAAAAGAAACCCAAACATTTATCGCGTGTCGGGCAGGTGGGAGGAGGGAGGTAGGCATGGGTGTATACTTACATAATGAGCGTGATGTGCACCATCTGGCGAATGGACATGCTTGAAGCTCTGACTCGAGGGGGAAGGGGAGACAAGACAATATATGTAAACTTAACAACATTTGTACCCCCATAATATGATGGAATTAAAAAAAAAAAAAAGAACCTAAAATGGGAGCTTCTAATTTAATGGTGCCATGATTATGTTCTCCGGTAAAAGTTTTCTTCTCATAGATACTAGTATGCAAATATACTGAACTTAGGGTCCTCCAATATATAAAATAAAAATTTATTCAGTAGGTTAGTTATTTGGTTTTATAGTGAGAGGAGCCACTTCCATCATCACCCCATTCTACTCTCAAACTCATGCCTAATGGCTATGGGGGAAATGGCATCAAGTTTAGGCTACTCCTTTAGGGTATTTTTATTAATAAAGTCATTACACTGCTTCACTTGACCAGAAAAAAAAAGATAAAATCATTAATGACATTCTTCTCATCTCTCAGGATACTGTCACTTACCTGGGCCACAATTGAGTCTTTAGCCAGTCATTTTACCTTCCCATTAAGCCAGCTGCTTCTTGGTTATGGACATGTGATAAGTAAATCTTGTAGTAATGAACCAATTTCCATAAATACTGTGCCACAAAATGTGACCCTGGTCAGAAGTGATGCTGTGTGGTGATGTGGGAGCCATTCTGTAAGCACATGATTGTGGTGCTGGCAGAAACACTGAAGACGGGCGAAGAAAACCTGCACCTGGAATATGTGGGGACAGGTCGTCACCCTTGAACGGATGAGTGGCCGATTGCAGTAACCCTATCTCCAGTTGACTGGCTAATCCAGCGGGGCGTTGTGCCGTGGTGGGGGCTCATGATTGGCAGGTCGGACGTTGGTGGCAGACAGCGTGCTTAGTTGTGTAGAACGCCATGTCGGTTTCAGTAAGAGGAGTTTGCTGAGCTCATGTAAAGCTGCCCTCTGCAGCCATGGCGACTTTAATTCATTGGTCATTTGAGTAAGCACTGAGGTGACCAGGGAGGAATGAATGTAATGTTTGAGGCTCTACAGTGGATATTGTATGAGAGGAGAGGTTTATATACTTATATGCTTATCTTTTCCTTAGACTTCCTTGTAACCAACAAACCTTATTCTTTCCCAGTTTCTGACCAGCCAGCCAACCCATTATCAACTGCCCACGAGTCAGCACCTCAGGCCATCTCCTTTAGGAAAGCGGACAACCAGAGGTGCTGCCTGGACTTATGCCCACTTGGTCTATTCAATAAGGCGGCGGTACCGCTTCTGGATGCTGCTGTCATGTCTTGCCAGTACAATCATAGACAAAGTCCATGCTTTTTCCTCCTCTTTTAACAACGGGTGTCCATTCAGTGTCACAAAGAGCAGTTGAGCTGTGGGAGAGGCAGCAAAAGGAACACGTTGGTACCATGGGAGTCTGAGATACCTGCTTGTGCAGTTGTGCTTTCTAGACCTGTTCAATGTGGTGTTACTGTGAATATCCACCTTTATGGTTTGTGGATGAAAGAACGTCTACTGTATGATGAGACATTTGGGTCATGGCCACTTTGTGCTAATGGTCAGGGTTTCAAACTTTACTGGGGCAAGTATCAAGCCAGGAGCTGCTAATGCAATAAATGGCAAATGATTCAAGGCAGCACATCCAAACATGGCATATGTTGCAATGATATCCAAATAAGGCCATCAAAGATAGTTCCTCTTTTGTTGTAGTGGGCTACATAAAGTACATAAACTTCTCTAATTTTAGAAGAGATGCCCTGGTATGTCATACCCTAGGAACTTAGCCACTGTGGTAGGCTACTGAACTGTTGCAGAATTTACCTCCTGCTCTCCAGCATGCAGTTATTTTACTAAAACATTTATGATATGTGTGCTACTGCACATCAAGCCTAGTAAGCATATTGTCAGCAAGATAATGGAGCAGGTGTGATGTTTTGTGGGCTGAACGATAAAGGTCTCTCTGGTCTGTTTTGTCACAGAGAGCAGGAGAGGACAGTTGACATAGCCATGAGTCAGGGTAACTGATCCCATACCACTACCCCCTTGTTGTAGGCAAACTCTTCTTGATTGTTTTTGCTGCTGATGGATAAAAGGGGAGGGATTTCTAGGTCATTTGCTCCATATCAGTTGCAAGAGGCTGTGGTGATTTGTTTCAATAAAAATACCACATTGAGAATCCCGTGTCTTTGCCATCGCCACAAGGTAAGTTTGCAATGATTTAGTCTTTCTCCACCTTTCATTTGGCCTTCATGCCAGGAAAACAAGCTACATGATGGTGTGATACGCACGCACCATTACTCCTACAACTTCAAACTTTGATGGTGGCACCAATCTATGCACTTCCCCCAGGTATGCCATATGACTTATGATTTATCATCTTGGGAGTGGTTCCAGGACCTTCCCCTTGGCCTTCTGTATCATAGTAGCTCTTGCTGCATTGTCGGGGAGCAGTGTGTGTTAGCATTTCTATTCCAGCCATAATTCTGGTATTCTAGGATGTATCTGCTGTTCTTTTGTATTCACTGTTAGATGAACTTGAAACAAGACCCTACTGACACCTTACCTCCATAAGCCTCCACTTTGACCAGTGGACTAAGGTGATACTCAGTTTTCCAGGGTACCTTCACTTCTGTCTGAGAATACAGTAAGCCCCCAAATTCCTAGATACTTTCTTTTCTTGTGTGCACAGTCATTCTTTTCAATGGCCATAGGTTCCTCTGGGGAAGGCTTGGGGGAATAGACATAGTTTCACCTACAACTGCATGGCAGGCTTCTTCCTCAAAGGTGCTCTCTTCAGTTGAGAATCTCTGAGGTTGTGAACTGGTTTAGGGCTGGGAATCTGTGTCACAGCAACTCATGTTAAGTTGTTGCCACAAGACCTAGAATGTCAAGAACACCTTCAGTATCATGCCAGTATCAGGCATATATATTTTTTTTTTATTTTTAGGGTCTCTGAAATAATTACCACAATCCCTGTGGGCCAATAAACTTTGATCATGTCTAAGTCCCTCTAGCTTATTGTGGTGATTGCACCTACCATGTCTTGGTTAAGCCCTGCCACATTGCCTATACCACTCCTGGTCCCATTATTCCCATTGATTTCAGAGAACCACGTTCCATTGCACTATCTTCCACCATCATCTCTCTATAAAATACAACAACTGAGAGATTTTGGGTGTGCCTTTCACTGAAATGTTTTTTAATGTCTTTGTGAAGGAGATATCCTTCTAACCCTCCCTGGAGCTTTATTTAAAGGTAGTTACCCAACTGGTATAGAAGTGACTCTATACCCATGGAATAGAGTCACTTAATATTGCTGTATTCCTGAAACTCAGCACTTCTTAACCATACAGTATGCCAGGGAAGTTCTAGTGTTTTGACCTCACTGACAGTAGGCTATTGTTACGTCCAACTTCAGTTAGCCTTCCTGGTAGAATACTAACATGACTTTTTCTTTGACTCAACACATTAAATACAAAATCCTAGATGAGTCACCCATTTCAATAAATTTTTTCTAGTCCAGCCTTCGATTTTCTTACTCTTTGATCAATCTCTTTCAAAGTGTAAATTAGCCCCTCCCAGAGCAGGACATTTATATTTCTCCTTCAAGACCATGTTGGGATTTAATTCTTAATATGGATCTGGAGGCAGTGAGGGGTAGTGAGACAAATGTCCCAGGTATTGTTGTCAAAACTTTGTTTTTCTAATGCACAGGCTTTCTTGTTGTTTGGAGAGGGCTTCCTCTGCTGGCAGGGGAAGCACGGAGATATTTGTCCATGTTGCTCTAACTGTTCTGATTCCAAGTTTCAGATTCCAGTGCTTTCCCTACCTAACCTGGGGGATTTGGGCTTGGTCCTCAGTCATGTCAATCCACAATGACAGGAGATCAGGAGTTACTTTAGTGCTGCTGCAGAAGTTTCTGATCACCTATTGGCATTTTCAGTTGCTCATTCACAGCTTTCCCTTTCTACTGTTCATTATGTGCATCCTTTAGGGCTGTCATAAGAAAATAATTAACACCAAAGTCTTTATTATTGCTATTGTCACCTTAGCAATTAAGTGCCTTGATATTCCTGACAACTTAGCCCTTATCTTATGCCAACTTTGGTGGTAATTTGAGAAATCATGATGTCATTGCATACTAGGAATTACCAGCATCCCATTTCTCTTTGGCAAGGGAGTTATCTGTACACTTGTTAAATGCACAAGCAGCCTAATCCAGGAATGTTATCTCTAGGATCTGCTTTCTGTGGTTTCTCTTGACACCGGTCACTACGTCAGTGACAGTCCCAGCAGGCAGTGGGCAGCACAACTTAAATTGGGTAACTTGGTTATGTGGCCACTTCATGAGCTGGGAGGAGATCGCATGGACTGTTTGAAATGAATGTCAGAGCTGTTGTAAGAAATTGGGTGAATTGAAGATTATGGTCCATATAGCTAAAAGTCTAATGTACATTTTCTTCATCAAAAGCAGCCCTTTTATATAGTTATGGTAGCTACCTAAGAATTATGTTAGGTGTTCGATTGTTAAATTATGGCATTGCTTGGCATAGACTCATTATGTTTGCAGTTCCATAAAACTTAATAAGAAGAGCTTCTTAAGAATCTTCTCATTTGTTCAGGAACCATATGTCCCTGCTCTGAGAGTTTAATAAACTAATAAAAATATTCATAATTAGAACATATTTTTACCACCCTTCAATGAATTGTCTGTTCTCTAATTTTTGTTGTTATTGTTGTTGCAGTATCCCAAGGAGTCAACTCTGGAGGCCTTTTCCGTTATTGTGACCCAGCTTCTGGCACTCAGTCTGGGAATATCATATGATGACCCAAAGAAATGTCAATGTTCAGAAACCACCTGTATAATGAATCCTGATGCTATGTAAGTTTTTTAAACAAACTTATTTATTGGTTATGATTATTTTGCTTTAAATATTCGAAGGGAAAATTTTTAGTATTTATATAGCACAAAGCAGCTATAAATGGACCAAGTTCATTACAAAATATAAACATGTAACTTTAAACGTAAGAGTCGTATGGAGGAAGATGTACCATTAAAGATAGCCAAGGATAACAAACCCAGTCCGCATTATACATTAGCAAAACAGTTTTCCTTAGGATGTGTATTTTATGAACACACTTCATAAGGACCTTTAAAAATATGTCAGAAGGCCATGATAAGTGGCCTTTGCTTTGGACAAAATCTTTTAGTTTGATTTTAGAATAGTTTGATATTGTGAATAAATCAACATCCAAAAGAATAAGAAGTCCTAGTTGGAGACCAACATTCAATATATAATATTTTTCCATTATTGAGATACTTCACTTGGGAGAATGGTCTCTAGTTCCACCCAAATCATTGCAAAAGGCAAAAAATCATCTTTTTTATGAGTGAGTAGTACTACATGGTGTACATATACTACATTTTATTAATCTGAATAGCATATGCTATTTTAGTTTATGAGAAAGAACTTTACTTTTGAAAGCAGTTTTGAATAGAGCTATCTTACAAGTATAATAAAACCATTGTTGGTCAGTAAAAATATACGTATAATATTTATATGACTGGAGAAATTACTTGACTTTGCTTAGATTTACTTTTCTCATCTTTAAGTGGAAATAATTTTGCCTATTCTCTTAGTTCACATGGTTATATAAGAATAAAATGAGAAAACAAAATGGGAAAATGTTTCTAAACTGTAAAATTCTTTAATTATGTGATGGATTAGCTACAATGATTTGTATATTTTCCGATATTCTCAAAATAGTATATCAGACAAGCTACTGCAGGTGTCTTTAGTGTTTTACTGTTTTTCTGTTTGTAATAGCCTGTGATAGGTATAAGCTATTCATTACTGAAGAACAATCAAAAGTTAAAAGTGAGAATAAGGAATTAACTTTTGAAAACATTATTTTCATGGTTACTTCTAAGCACCTCCTAATGGTTAAATCTTATATTTTAAAAATAGCTCAAACTCAAACATATACATGCATACACACACACACATACACATAAGTATAATATAAATTAGCTCTAAAAGGAATTATATGTGTATATACACATATCCATATATGTACACATACATATCCATATATGGATATATAATTGGTATATATATCCATATAGATAAATCACACAATAGAGAATAAATAGTCTGGGCTTACTATTCATGTGACCAACTATTCTCAAGTGTGCTATGACAAGATGCTTTATGTAGGTCACTCAAAGCCTAGCATATTGATGATAATAAGGTTAACAAATATTACATTGTACTTACTATGTGCTAGAGACCATTCCAGGCACTTTACATATATTAACTCATTTGATTCTCACATCTCTGTAGGGCAGATCCTACTATTCCCATTCTTACAGATGAGAACTGAGTTATAAAAAGATAATTACCCTTACTTAGGTAGCTAGTTTGTGGCAGGCCTGGGTTTTGAATCTCTGTTAATAAACCTTTAGAATCGTATGGTACTTTATAAAAAAAATAATGTTTAATATGATTTCAAATATAATCTTCAATTTCTTACAAATTGTGGTGATATATGTAGGGTGTTACCTCAGTTTTTACAAAATCTAACAATACTATATATCTGTAACTTGAATTTATGTAGTATATATCACACATTATGTTCATTCTCAAAGAAGGCATATAAATAAAGTATTATTATTTCTATTTAATGTGTTTATGGAAACATCCCTGGAGTATACCTAGCCTTAGTGACTCTACATTGGATACATAAGTTAATTGGTGACCAAACTTCAGCAGGTATCAGTGCTACAACCAGTAATTTATTTATTGGGAACCTATTATAAGCCAGAGAGTTGAATTTTGCACTTTACTTATTTAATAATATCTAATCCTCACTACAACACTATGAAGTAGATGGGTATTATCCCTATAATATAGATGAGAAAACTGACACTTAGGGAATTTAATCACTTTGCCTAAGTCATAGAGTCAGTATCAGTCAACAAGTTTATCTAATTCCAAAGCTCTGTTCTGTTCTCTACACTTCTTATAGAAGAGAGTTAATATATTGGCATTAGCTTAAATTAAGTAGCAAGAGAACATTAGTATGTATTTGTACATTCTTCATTCTTACATGTCAGTACTCTTTCCAATATATAATTTTGAGGTAATACTCTACATTTATTGTTGAAAAAATATTTACGGAAACCTAATAATTATACATATTTATGGGGTATATGTGGTGATATTTTGATATATGTGTACAATGTGTAATGATCAAATCATGAGTTCAGAATATCTGTCACCTCGTACCTTTATCATTTCTTTGTACTGGGAGCATATTAGATCTTGTAGTCTAGCTATTTTGAAATACAGAGTAAATTATTGTTAACTCTAGTAACCCTTCTTTGCTATTCTTTCACTGTAACTACTCAAAAATCAACCTCTCTTCATGTATTTCCCCACCCTTCCTGGCCTTTGGAAACCACCTTTCTACTCTCTACCTCCATGAGATCAACTTTTCAAACTCCCACATGAGGAGTGAGAACACGTAATTAGTATTTTCCTGGCTTATTTCACTTCACAGAATGATGTCCAGTTCTATACACATTGCTGCATGTGATGGAATTTCATTCTGTTTAATAGACATTTATGTGGATTCCATATCTTGGCTATTTTGAATAGTGCTGCAATAAACATGGAGTTGCAGGTATCTTTTCGATACACTGGTTTCCTTTCTTTTGAATAAATACACAGTAATGAGATTGCTGGATCATGTGGTAGTACTATTTTTAGTTTTTTTAGAAACCTTCATACTTTTTTTTTTCCATAATGGCTATAGTAATTTACATTCCAGAGTTCCATTTTTTTTATATCATCACTGGTATTTGTTATTTTTTGTCTTTTTTATGATAGCTATTCTAACTGGAGTGAGATGCTATCTCATTACAGTTTTGATTAAAATTAGAATTTTTCCAAATGATTAGTGATATTGAGAATTTTTCATATACTTGTTGGCCATTTGTATGTATTCTTTTGAGAAATATCTGTACATATCCTTTGCCTTTTAAGTGGTATTATTTGATTCTTCGCTTTTGAGACTTTTGAGGTACGTTTATATTCTGGATAATATCCCCCTGTCAGATGAATAGTTTCCAAATACTTTATCCTATCCTATAGTTTGTCTCCTCAGTCTGTTGATGGTTTCCTTTGCTGTGCAGAAGAGGATTTTTATTTTAATACAGTTCCATTTGTCTATTTTTGTTTCTGTTGTGTATGCTTTCAAAGTCTTAGCCATAAAGTCATTGCCTAGAACAGTGTCCTGAAATATTTTCTCCATGTTTTCTCCTAGTAGTTTTATAGTTTTTGGCCTTATGTTTAGTATTTACTTGATTTTGAATTTTATTATTGTGTAATACATAGTCAGATATGGGGGATCTGATTTTATTCTTCTGTATGTGGATATTCAGTTATTTTCAGCACTAATGTATGTTCTTAATACCTTTGGAAAAGATCAGTTGGCTATAAATAGATGGATTTATAGTTGGCATTTCTGTTCTCGACCACCATTCTGATTTTGTTGCTACAGCTCTGTAGTATATTTTGAAGATAAGTATCATCATGCCTCCAGCTTTGTTCTTTTTTTTATTTTTTTTATTTTAGCATATTATGGATGTACAAATGTCTAAGTTACATATATTGCCCCTGTCCCCCCTTCCCCCAAGTCGGAGCTTCAAGCATGTCCATCCACCAGACGGTGCACATCGCACTCGTTATGTATATATATAGCCATCCCTTTCTCCCCCCTACTATCTGCCTGACGCCTGATATATGTTATTCCTATATGTGCACTTAGGTGTTGATCAGTTAATACCAATTTGCTGGTGAGTACATGTGGTGCTTATTTTTCCATTCTTGGGATACTTCACTTAGTAGAATGGGTTCCAGCTCTATCCAGGAAAATACAAGATGTGGTATATCACCATTGTTTCTTATGGCTGACTAGTACTCCATGGTATACATGTACCACATGTTATTAATCCACTCATGAATTGATGGGCACTTGGGTTGTTTCCACATCTTTGCAATTATGAATTGTGCTGCTATAAACATTCGAGGGCAGATGTCTTTTTTATAGAATATCTTTTGTTCTTTTGGATAGATGCCCAATAGTGGTATTGCTGGATCAAATGGTAGATCTATGGTTCCATACAAATGTTAGGATTGCTTTTTCTATTTATGTGAATAATATCATTGGTATTTTGATAGGGATTGCATTGAATCTGTAGATTGATTTGAGTAATATGGTCATTATAGCAATATTAATTATTTTCCATGCACATGCAGTGTCTTTCCATGTGTTAGTGTCCTCTTTAATCATATTGTTTAGGTTTTTTTGTAGAAGATTTTCACCTCTTTGATTCAATTTATGTCTAGGTATTTTTTGTAGCTGTTGTAAAAGGGATTGCTTTCTTGATTTGTTATTTGGCTAGTTATTGGTGTATAGATATGCTAATAATTTTTGTGTTGATTTTGAATTCTGTAGTTTTACTGAATTCATTTATCAGTTTTTAGGGTTTTTTGGTGGAGTCTTTAGGTTTTTCTATGCATAAAAGCAAGTTGTCTACAAAGAGGAAAATTTGACTTTTTTTTTTCTCCAATTTGGATGCCTTTTATTTCTTTCTCTTGATTAACTACTCTGGCTAGGATCTTTAGTATTATGTTAAGAGGAGTGATGAAAGTGGGCATCCTTGTCTTGTCCAGTCATTAAAGGAAAGGCTTTTAGTTCTTTCCCATTCAGTAGGATATTAGCTGTGGGTTTGTAATATATGGCCTTCATTATGTAGAGGTATGTTTTTTCTATACCTAATTGGTTGACAGTATTTATAATGAAGACATTTGAATTTTATCAAATGGTTTTTCTGCATCTATTGAGATGATTATATGGTTGTTGTCCCTCTTTCTGTTGATGTGATGTATCATTTTATTGATTTGCATATGTTGAACCATCTTTGCATCCTTGGTATAAATCTCAGTTGATTATGGCGTATTATCTTTTTGATGTGTTGTTGGATTCAGTTTGCAGTATTTTCTTTTGCGATTTTCGCGTCTATGTTGACCTGGGATATTGGCCTGTGGTTTTTGTTGTTATTGTTGATGGTATTTGTGTACTTATCTAGTTTTGAGATCAAGATAATGCTGACCTCAAGAAAGAGTTAGGAACAATTCTCTTCCTATTTTTGGAATAGTTTGAGAAGAATTGGTGTTAGTTCTTCTGTACCTGTTTGGTAGAAATCAGGAGTAATGCCAGGTGCTTATGGGATTTTTTTTTGTTGGTGGTGGTAGGCTTTTTATTACTGATTTAAGCTCTTTGCTCAGTATTGGTCTGTACAGTTTTCTTATTTCTTCCTGTTCAATCTATGGAGATCATATGGGCCTAGGAATTTATGGATTTCCTCTAGGTTTTCCAATTTGTTGGCAAGTAGTTGTTCGTAATAGTCTCTAATGACCCTGTGTATTTCTTAGTATTAGTTGTTATGCCTTCTCTTTTTGTTTCTGTTTTTATTTATTTGGATTATTTGGGTTTTTTTTTTCCTTTTTATTTTTTTCTTGGTTAGTTTAGACAGTGGTTTATCAACTTTGTTTATCTTTTGGTATATAAGCACTTATTATAAACATTAACCTTTTGAGGCTGGTAGCTCATGCCTGTAATCTCAGCACTTTGGGAGGCCAAGGCAGGAGGATCGCTTGAGGCCAGGATTTTGATATCTGCCTGGTCAACACAGCGAAACCCTGTCTCTATAAAAAGTTATAAAAAAATATTAACTGAATATAGTGGCACTCGCCTATAGTCCCAGCTATTCAGGAGGATTGCTTGAGGCCAGGGGTTGGAGGCTGTATCAGCTATAATCACACACTGCACACTCCAGCCTGGGTGACATAGTGAGACCTTGTTTCAAAAAAAAAAAACAAAAAAACATTTTGAAATTAATTTATATAATATAGAGTTGTGTTTGCAGAAGCACACTGCCAATGACATTATATGGATTCATCTTTAGGAAATCCAGTGGTGTGAAGAGATTCAGCAGTTGCAGTTTGAGTGACTTTAAACATTTTACTTCAAATGTGGGTGCTAGATGTCTTCAAAATAAGCCACCAATGCAACGGCAACGGGCATCAGTCTGTGGCAATAATAAAGTGGAGGAAGGTGAAGTCTGTGATTGTGGTACTCCAGAAGTAAGTGATAACAAGAAAAATTGATTAATAAATTTGTTGTTGTAGTTCATCTTTTTCATAAATGTTATATAATTCAAATATGACTGAATGTGATGCAGAATATTGACAATAAGTGAAATTATATTGAAATACATAAAGAAAAATTCTGTCTAGGTTTTAGAGGTGGATGAGTTTTGAACATAATTAAAATGGACCACAAAAAACTATTGATGATGAGAAAAAGAGGAGCCTAGAATAAGCTTTTGAGTTCCAGGCTAAATATATAAATTCTTTCCAGATCTATGCTTAACTTTTGGGCATTTTATAATTATCTTATTGAAGATTAATGTGTCAGCAACCCATCACATGCCCTTTAGAATATTACTTCACAATGGAATCACTAGTACAGGGAGACACATTGTGTTAATATTGCAATCTGAACACTAGGTGATTTTGATAATTCACTTAATGACAAAGGCCTGAAAATACAATGAATTCAAAAGGCCTAGGGTAAAATGCTTCAATATAATTCAGTATTTGCAACAATATTGCTGATATCATAAATTTTCTTGATTACAAAATAGGCAGAAATAGATATTTGGGTTTGTTACATATTTAAGTCTGAATAACTTGTACCCATGTCACATTGTTTTAATTGCTACATTTTTGTATTGCGTTTATTTGGTAGAATGAGTCCTCCCTCTTTACTCTTTTTTTTTTTTTACATTTTTTAATTTGTATATATTCATGGGGTACAAGTGCAGTTTTGCTATAGTGATGTATTTCATTGTGGTGACATCAAGGCCTTCAGTGCGTCCATCTCTGAAGTAACACGCATTGTACCACCAAGCAATTCCCACCATCTGCTGCTCCCACCCCCCTACCCCTCTGGATCTCCTTTTTCCATCATTTCACACTCTGCTCCCATGTGTACCCATTATTAGCTCACACTGGTAAGTGAGAACATGCAGTATTTGTCTTTCTGTGTCTGAGTTGTTTCACTTAAGATAATGGCCTTGAGTTCTATCCATGTTGCTGAAAAAGACACGATTTCATTCTTCTTTATGGCTGAATAGTATTCTGCTGCTTTTATATACCATATTTTCTTTATCCAGTCCTCTGTTGATGGGCAATTATGTTGATTGCATATCTTTGCTATTGTGAATAATGCTGCGATAAACATAGAAATGCAGATATCTTTTTGATATAATGATTTCTTTTCCTCTGGGTAGATAGCCAGTAAGGGTATTGCTGGATCCTATGGTAGTTCTATTTTAGTTCTTTGAGAAATCTCCATAGTGTTTTTCATGGAGGTTATACTCATTTACCTTCCCACCAAGAGTGTGTAAGAGTTCTCTTTTCTCTGCATCCTTGCCAACATCTGATTTTTTCTTTGTCTTTTTTTAGTTTTAATTTTTTTAAATTTTTTAATTACCTCATATTATGGGGGTACAAATATTGTTAGGGTTACATATCTTGCCCCTGCCCCTACTCCCCCACCCCACCATGCCAGACCTTCTAGCGTGTCCAGCGTCCAGGTGGTGCGCACCGCACCCACTGTGTAAGTACATACCCTTCCCTCCACCCCCCTTCCACCTGCCCACTTCCCGATTATAGATTTTTTTTCAGACATTTTGGTTACAATGTATATCTTTGCCTCTCCCTCAAAAGGGATAGAAGTAATCCACATCCATAAAATGTACCCATTTACGTGTACAGGCTGATGAGTTTAGACAAATATGTATAAACATTGGTACAATTAAGATTCTTTTTGTTGTCCCCCAAACTTCACTCGTACCCCTCTGCAGTCATTTCCACCTCTACTCCTCCCTGGGAAAGTTTTGATTGTGTCAGTTTTGCCTGACATAGAAAGTCATATAAATAAAGTGACACAGCATATTTTTTTGTTTCTGGCTTTTTCCTCCCAGTATCGTGTTTTAAAATTCTTTCATGTTGTTTTATGTTACAATAGTTTCTCCCTTTTTATGTTGAGCATACTTGATTGTGTGGAAATGCCACAATCTACTTTTCCATTCACCTGCTAATAGAAAGTTGCACTGTCAACGGAAGTGGGCCATTACTCCTAATTTGCAAAAGTACAATTGCTAGGTATGGATGTTTATGAGAGGCTGCCAAAATATTTTCCAGAGTAGTTGTAGCATTTTACTCTCCTATCAGTAACATACGAAACATTTATTTCCTCCATATCTACACCAAAATTTGATATTGTCATCTTCTAAAATCTTAGCTATTCTAATGGTTTTATGGTGATTTTAATTTGCATTTCCTCGTCCTCGATGATTTTGATGATGTCGAGCATGTTTGCACTGGCCATTTTAAGTTTTATTTTTAATTAACAAACACTTTTATATATTTATGGGATATAATGTAATATTTGATGTATGTTTATACTGTGGAATGATTAAATCAAACTAAGAAATCCATCATCTCACGTCTTATTTTTTGTGGTGAAAACATTAAAATCAACTTTTAAAGCAATTTTACAATTGATGTATAGTAGTTGTGCATATTTGGGGGGTACATGTTATTTTTGATACCTTTATAGAATATATAATGATCAAATCAGGATGACTGGGATATCCATAACCTTACACATTTATCTTTGTGTTGGGAATATTGCAATTCTTCTAGCTATTTAAAAATATACAATAAATTATTAACCATAATTTTCCTACTATACTATTTAATACTAAAATTTATTCTTTCTATCTAACTATATTTTTGTGCCCCTTAACCAACTTGTCTTTATTCCCCCCAACTTAGAAATATGCAATGAGTTATTATTTATTATAGTCGCCATTCTGTGCAATAAATTACAAAAGCTTATTCCTCTGTCTAACTGAAACTTTGTATCCTTTAATCAAGATCTCTCCTTTCCCCAGTTCCCCCTCCCCCAGTCCCTGGTACCTGCCATTCTATTCTATGCTTCTATAAGTTTAGCATTTTTGGATTCCATTTATAAGTGAGATCATGCTACAGTTGTCTTTCTGGGCATGGCATGTTCCACTGAGTATAATTTCCTCCAGGTTCATTCATGTTGTTGCAAATGAAAAAATTACCATTTTTATTGATTGTAAGATGTTTTTATTAGGAAGCATTTGAAACATTGGAACAGTTTCTAAAATATTTTGAACACTTCTATCTTTAACAAATATTAAACATATTGCCATATTAGCTTTATACGTGCACACACGCATTTTAAATGAATAAAACAGATGCATTTGAAATTCGGTGTGTAATTTTCCTTGACCTAATCTCTTTTCTCTGCACCATCTCCTTCCTTAGATATAAACACTATCTTGAGTTCAGTCTTATCATTCCCACGCATTTTTTAATGCTTTTGCTACATATATGTGTATTCATAAACAACGTGGAGTATTGCTTTGAATGTTTTAAACTTTAAATTCTCTAATGCATACAACTTGCCTTATTAACAGAGCATAATTTTAAAATATTATTTCATATTCATGCATGTAACAGTAAATTAAATTGTTTATTGTTTTCTATTATATGAATATATACCATAATATATTTATCAATCCCCTTCCCCCATCCAAGCAGTTTGAGAAAGGGACAATTTATTCTTATATCTTTATAATTTCTTGGAGAAAGCAAAACACCAAGGATTCAAGAAATCAGTATTTTCTTTCCTACTTTTTTCCATGTGCCTTCAGTTAATTTACTACTTTATATTTTGTCCTGGTTTCTGGAAAGATTGTAAAGATGACTTATTAGCAAAAGTTTCTCCACAGACATAATGAGTGCCAATGAATAGGTGACTGTCAAGTCTATAGCCATCAAATTGTGTATATACATTCATATCTATAATTTTATGCTTCATATTCATGCATATTTTAATTTTTGCTTTTAAAAGACTGTGGTTTAAAGTTATCAGAAATTACGGGTAATAAGAATTTCAGTATTTGGTCATTTGCTTATTTAAATGTGTTTTTCTTATTTGCCACAGTAATATATTTTCCAACCAAAGCAATACAAGTGATTGCTTTAATAGTCATGCACACATTATTTACAATATCTACAATATTTATTACCAGTTTTGTAGATGGAGTGCCCATAGAACTCAAAGTGTCTGTCATTTCATTTTCCCTCAAATGTTGGTACCTCCATAATATCCTGAAATAAAAAAAAAATCAATTATGTCTGTTTCCCTATCATTTTTGTTCTTTTACAAAAAAATATTTTAGTTTTTTCATTTTTAACTGACAAATAATAATTGTGCATATTCATAGAGTATACAGTGATTTTCCATACATATAAGGTATATTAATCAAATCAGGGTATTTAGAATATTCACCATCTCAAACATTTATCATTTGCTTGTGTTGGAAACTTTCACTATCCTCATAGCTATTTGAAACTATATATTATTGTTAACTAGTGTCATCCTACAGTAGTATATACATTAGGACCTCTTCCCCCTATCTAGCTGTAAATTTGTATCATTTAGCAAATCTCTGCCTACCCTCCCCTTCTCCCTACTCTTCCCAGACTCTAATATCCTCTCTTCTACTTCTTTCTTCTATGAGATCAACTTTTTTTTAGCTTCCACATATAGGGAAAATATGTGGAATTTAGCTTTCTTTTCCTGGTTTATTTCACTTAACATAATGTCCTCCAGTTTCATTCATGAACATGAGAGTACCCATGTCTCTTTAGCATACTGATTTTATTTTCTTTTGATATATACCAAGAAGAGAGATTTCTGAATCATATGGCAGTTCTATCTTTATTTTTTTTAGTTTTGTTTTATTTTTGATTGATACATAATAATTGTACACAGATATGGGATACAATGTGATATTTTGATACATGTAAACTTTGTGTAATGATCAAGTCATCAGTATATACTGATCAAGTTATCAGTATATCCATAATCTCAAATATTTATCATTTTTTTTGTAATGAGAGCATTCAAAATCCTCTCTTCTGTTTTGAAATTGCAATACTTTTAACCATAGTTACCCTACTGTGCAATAAAA